CACACTGTGGAAAAAGAGGGAAAGAGTTCTAACAGGTGAGATGTAACTTAATTATGAGGCAGCGCACAGTTTTAAGGTGTCTTTTGTTAAAATGTCAAATAATTGCAAATAATCACATGAAGAAACAAAGAAAGTTTAAGACAACATTCATTCTCAGTTGAGCAGATAGAAAAATGGGTTGGAAGCAAGATGAATAGCTGATTGATTGTCATAAGAAAACCATAGTAGAGTCGATGTGAATTTCAAAATGAGTAAGGAGTCACTTGGGCCAAACCACTTCACTTGCAACAGATGATAGAGCCCGATATTCAACTTCAGTTGAGGATTTAGAAACAGTAGGTTGTTTCTAGGACTTCCAAGATATCAACGCATTATTACCATGGAAAGCACAGTGGCAAGTGATAATGCGTCTGGTATCTACCCAATTACCCCAATTAGCATCAACATATGCAGTCAAATGTAAAGAAACCAAAACAGGGAAAAGGAGACCTTGAGCAGGTGTAGATTTTAAATAGTGTAATAAATGGTGTACAAGACAACATTTAAATATGGTGTTCTCAAGCTTTGCATATACTGACTAAACTTGTGCATAGAAAAATTAATGTCGGGTCTGGAAATAATGAGATACAATAGTCTTCCAATTAACCTCCTATACATGGTAGGGTCAGAGATAAGACCACCCTCAGCAGAGTTTAACTTGAGGTTAGGACCCATGGGTAGTGAAGCACGCTTGCATCCTAAAAAACCAGTATCTTCCAATAAAGTTTAAGTATTTTTCCTCTATGATAAAAAAAATTCATTTACTAGACTTGCCAATTTCCTGATTGATGAGCTCTAACCAACATACAGCTTCAGGTAACATCGTGACAAGTATCAAAAACCAACCTGCTGGTATAGTAACTTTAACCTCTTCAACCCCTTCAACGAACCCAGATCCTCCACACGTTATACAAAAGTCCTGCACAAAAAAGATAGACAAAATACACATTTATGAAAGATTATGGCTCAAAATAGATAAACCTCAAAAGATTATTTGGCAGGGAATTCAGGAAAGACCTTAATGATACAGCCTGATTTTAACAAGATATGGTATCACTATAATAAGCTCCAAATATTTGATACTGAATTGATCTACAAGGGTTCCTTGATTAAAATCTTCTTCCGATGGGTTATCCTGAAACAAGGATAAGAAAGATGAATAACGCAGGCACGACCAGTAATAATCTGCAGTAAAATATAAATGAAATCAAACAACAAAAATTACACTCGTGGCACTCCCACCTCACCCTTTCGCTCGTGGCACTCACCCCCTTTTACGAATAAATTTAGGGTTCAATGTTCTATGTGAGACCTTGGTAATATTTATTTAAGTTATTAAACTAGGGCTATAAGCATTTACACGAGTTACTTTCGTTTTTATGTATGATAAAAATATATAATTTACTTTATTTTAATTAAACACCAATAATGTAAATTACACATTCTCTCGTGAATATACTTTAAATATTTTTATTTGGTATATTGAATATACTTTAAATATCATTATTCATAAGAGTATACATTAAATTTACTTTAATTGTTAAAATATACTTTAAATTTAATTATTGTTAAAACAAATATATTTTAATTGTTTATTGTCATTCACTTATTTGATTAAAAAAATTAAAATATATAATTAAATTTAAAATAATTAATTAAAATAATAAATAAAATAAAAATTACAAAATAAATTATATGTATACTTATATATGCATCAAAATGTGTATATATATATCTATTAATTTTTTTAATAATTATAATTTATTTTTTTAATATAAATATATTTATTTAAAAATTATATATTTAA